CTGCTCACACATTCCTCCTTTTTCTGTTTTCAATTTTTTGATGGTTTTCAAAGTTTCTCTAAATATTGTTTACACCACCACATTTTATTTTTTATTTATTTTTTAACATCTTTATTGAGGTATAATTGCTTTACATTGTTGTGTTAGTTGCTGCTGTATAACAAAGTGAATCAGCTATATGTATACATATATCCCCATAACCCCTCCCTCTTGCATCTCCCTCCCACCTTTCCTGTCCCACCCCTCTATGTGGTCACAAAACACCAAGCTGATCTCCCTGTGCTATGCGACTGCTTCCCACTAGCTAGCTATTTTACGTTTGGTAGTGTATATATGTCAGTGCCACTCTCTTGCTTCATCTCAGCTTGCCCTACCCCCTCCACGTGTCCTCAAGTCCATTTTCTATGTCTGTGTCTTTATTCCTGTCCTGCCCCTAGGTTCTTCAGAACCATTTTTTTGGTTTTTTTAGATTCCATATATATGTGTTAGCATACGGTATTTGTTTTTCTCTTTCTGACTGACTTCACTCTGTATGACAGACTCCAGGTCCATCCACCTCACTACAAATAACTCAATTTCGTTTCTTCATGGGTGAGTAATATTCCATTATATACATGTGCCACATCTTTAACCATTCATCTGTCGATGGACACTTAGGTTGCTTCCATGTCCTGCCTTTTGTAAATAGAGCTGCAGTGAACATTGTGGTACATGACTCTTTTTGAATTATGGTTTTCTCAGGCTATGTGCCCAGTAGTGGGATTTCTGGGTCGTATGGTAGTTCTATTTTTAGTTTTTTAAGGAACCTCCCTGCTGTTCTCCATAGTGGCTGTATCAATTTACATTCCCTCCAACAGTGCAAGAGGGTTCTGTTTTCTCCACACCCTCTTTAGCATTTATTGTTTGTAGATTTTTTGATGATGGCCATTCTGACCTGTGTGAGATGATACCTCATTGTAGTTTTGATTTGCATTTCTCTAATGATTAGTGATGTTGAGCATCCTTTCATGTATTTGTTGGCAATCTGTATATCTTCTTGGGAGAAATGTACCACCACATTTTAAATTTGTTCATTGTAGTTATTGTTTTTTGAGCATGTGTGGGTCTTTCCCCCATGCATTGTACTATTCTTTCAGGTGACTCGTCAGTCAGGAAACTTATGTCTTTCATCTTTGGTATACAGTATTCATTTATTCTAATTCTTCTCTACTTCTCTTTTTATAACTCCCACTAGTTGTGTGTTGGACCTCCTGACTTGATTCCCTGTGTCTATTTTTCCCCCACATTTATCTCTTTATCATTTTTTCTATCTTAGTAAAAAATTCCTTAGCTCTTTTAACCTTTTTTGAATTTTTTAATCCCATCAATAATATTTTCAATTTCCAAATGCTTATCTTTTTTGTTTCTTTTTCCTAGTGTCCTCCATTTAATGCAAGGTCCTCTCTAAACTCTCAGGATACCAATTAGAGGCTTTTTGTTTTGGCTTTAAGTTCCCTTCTGTTTCCTGATGAACTTTGTTTGCTCTTGGGCCCTTTTTTGTTTACCCTGATCTTTCTCTTTCATATGATTACCTTCTTCAAATGCCTGATGATCCTTAGTATTCCATTTACTTTCAAGAATTAATAAGAAGTTTAAAAGCTCTGTGCACATGGTGTTGTTTCTATTTGCTGGCTTCCCTTTAGGATAAGATGGTGGACTATTGGCCCTTATTGGGGAAGGGTTGGAGAATTAGAGAGTGTGGGTGTCTGTGTTGCCCTGGAGCTGCCATCGAGCTCTCCAGGCAGTCATTGTTTTCCTTCTTCCTGGGGAGAAGCATCTAGCTTTCATGCAGCGTACTATGGGTGGGGTCAGGAGGTAGATATTGTTTTATGAACAGACTTATAGTTAATTTTTCTGTTTTCAGATCTGTATCTGTATCTCTGACTTTCTTTTTCCTTGGCTGTTAATAGTTGTCTTTTGGGATTTTCTGTTAATAGTCCTAAGTCTTTTGGGGTTTTCTAGGGAAGATTAGCTTGCTTCTTTGCTGTAGCCCCCTCATTTTACACCCCAAGCTGTTACTTCTCTATACTGTCTCATCAGTTAATTTGCATCTGCCTTTCCAAAATTGGTTTCAGTTTTTCATTTCCTGATGCCCCCCTTCCCCTTCTCTTCATTGATGTGAATTTATATCTTTATTAATTCCTTCATTATAATTTTAATGGGAACTCTGAAATTGTATGGTCAGTTGGCCATCTTGCTTCAGATGCCCAAAAATATTCTTTATTATTTGTTACCTAATAAGCTTTAGCTAAATCATGAGCTATAGTTCATTGTTTATAAAATTATTGCCAGAGATAAACAAAGCTGAACACTAGTTAAAGCGGTAAGGAAGGATTTTAATATACTATTGCAATAGATTTTAATCAGTAATATACTATTGCAAGCGTCCAGCATGAACTGAGCTCAACTTCAGTTTATATACAGAGGTGACTGTGTTTTAAAGGGAGAATGAGGGAATAAAGCAGGGGTAAATGGGGGCTCCGTAGCATCCAGGAAGTGAAAAAATTACAAAAAGCAAGAAGTGAGGAATTGGTCCATGTGAAACCCATGTGAGTTTGTAACTGGCACTTAAGGAAGTTAGGCTCCTCCCCTCTCACAGAGCCGGGGAGACAGGAGCTCTATCTCCAGGTGTTGGCTGGAACAAACGTAAATTCTTTTGGCAGCCCTGAGTTTTCCCAGGCAGGCACTTTATAAGGGGGGTAGGGTCATCCTAGGGATGCAGCCTTGAACTCTTAGAAACTGCGTTAAAGTCTTTGTAGGCCAAGGTCAAGGCCTAGTCCAGGAGGCATCTCAGAAGAGCCTGGGTAGAGTTCGGTCAAGGAGAGAATCTTTGTCATTATGCTAGTGTATAGAGAAGGGTCTGCTATTACGAAGTAATAAATACATTTCTTTTTGTGGAAATTTAGTTACTTTATTGTCAGGTTACATTCAGTAATTTTTTAATGTATTTGGTGACATGCTGGTAAAGATAAGAGTTCTGTTACTTCTCTGGTCTATCCTACCTCTTCCTTCTGTTATCAAGGTGAAATTCTTATAAGAAACCATATATATAGTCATGTACGTGGATGTTCTAAATACAACATATCTTTAATAATTCGAAAGCAAAGCTTTTCATACGTTGTCTGGAAAATGTGTTTTTACACTGGCTCTTTAAAAAACATATATAACAGTATATTAACGTGCAGTTAAAGCATTTCAATAAAGCGTTTAGCATTATTTGCACCTTTTTGCAGGCCTCTCACTGCTGTGGCCTCTCCCGCTGCGGAGCACAGGCTCCGGACGCACAGGCTCAGTGGCCATGGCTCACGGGCCCAGCCGCTCCGCGGCACGTGGGATCCTCCCGGACCACGGCACGAACCCGTGTCCCCTGCATCAGCAGGCGGACCCCCAACCACTGTGCCACCAGGGAAGCCCCTGCACCTAATTTTAATGCTTATTTGTAGAGAGGAATAGATAGACAAATGGATCTCATACTTGAGAATGTAACAAATTCTTAGGATCCTGTTGCAGGTTTATTAAATCTTCATTTAGTTTGCAACTTGTTAACATTTTTGCTTTGTTTGATTGATTGTGCCTACTTATTGATCTGTATATGTCTAAGTATTGATCAGTGCCTTGAATGCCTATATCTGCTCTCCCATATAAAAACATATTTTTTTCTATTTTGGATAGAAATAAAATAATAATAAAGGGAAATATATATTTTCTATTTGTTGAAACTTTTACCTGCTCTAATGACCTTTTTGTTCAGTTAAATGCTTTCTATCCTAAGAGCCATTAACACTTCGAAAAAGTTCTTATTAGGTGCGAGAAAATTATAGATTTCACTTATTTCCTTGTCTTGCCAGGCCAACTTCTTAGTGATTGTTTTTATATGTTGTCACTAAAATACATTGAATTCCCTCAGCTTACCTTTAAAAGAGTTATGATATTCCTTTTCAGTAATTATAGAAAGCATAAAAAGAATTTTACTGTTACCATACTTGTAGGAGTTTTATAGGATATATTGGAATTTTAAGATGTTACATTACTATTATTTTTAATTTATGGAATCAGAAAATATTTTCTTAATATCAGATATTTAAAACTACAGGTATTTGATTCTTTTTAGGCGTTTGGGCAGTTGGTGTGTGTGTTTTTTTTAAGATACCAAGATTGAAGTATAGTTTAAAATTTCAATTAGTTTAAAATTTTATATATTTATATATTTAATAGAGTTTAAATTTTTTAATTTAAAAATAATTTGATGATTATAACCCCCCCATCTAGACTTTGCTGATCCCACCATTTTCTTTACCCATTACTGAACTTTTGAAACCACTTTATCACTTGAGTTGCATGACAGTTTTTTTTTTCATTTTTGTGTCTTTTAGGCACTCAAAGATTTTATTGAACAAATAAGTGAAATAGTTTTTACTTAAAAATAAATTCTAAGCACAGTCAGCTTGCTAATTTTTCTCACCTTGTTGTTTGCAGGTTTTGAATTAAAATATAAAAGTATACTGAGTGGGCACTGTGCTCCTGTTCTGACTTGTGCTTTTTCTCACGATGGGCAGATGTTAGTTTCAGGGTAAGTTATTTAGTTTAATTTCCTTAAACCATTTTGATATGAAATAGAGTAGACTTACAGAAAAGTACATAAAACATAAGAGAATATGTTGATAAATCATTGTGATGCAAACTTGTAACCGCTGCTCAGTCAGGAAATAGACCATTGCTGGTTTTCCTCCAGAAGTCCTCCCCTTCCAAGTGCCCCTTTCTGGTGACAGTACCTCAGGTCATATGCAACATTGCTTTTTCCTTTTAAATTGATTTTAAACAAATCATACATTATGAATTATTTTGTGTCTGGCTTCCTTTACTCAACATTACGTTTGTTTTCCAAGTGGTTGAACAAATCTGATGTATATAATATGTGATAGGAATCCAGTTTCATTTCTTTCCATATGGATTTCCAGTTGTCTCAGTACTGTAAGGTGAAAAGATAATCTTTTCTTCACCATTTTCATATGCCACCTTGTCAGAAATCACTGATCATATATGTGTGGGTCTTTTCTCAGCCTGTTACTCTGTTCTGTTTTTCTGTTTATCCTTGCTCTGATATCTTTCTGAGCCTTTATAATTTGGCTGTTCCTGGCTTTTGACACTTCCATGTAAATTTTAGAGTTAGCTTGTCAGATTGTCTCCAGTTCCTCCCTCTACCCACACAAACCTGTTTAGATTTTGACTGGGATTGTATTGAGTCTGATAAATTTGGGGAGAATTGACATCTTTATGATGTTGAGTCTCCAACCCATGAATATGGTGTATGTTTCCATTTATTTGTCTTTTGATTTCTCTCAATATAATGTCTCTCAATAGAAGACAGTTTATTTGTCATCCTTGTGGAGGTCCTCATCTTTTATTAGATTCTAGGCACTTAATTTTTTTGTTGCTATTATAAAAGATGTGGCTAATATAGGGAAATATATATGGAAAGACTGGATTTATCTGTTAAGATTCTAATTTTGGATTTTTTATGTATAAAATCATATCATATGTTAATTATGGCTTTTGTGTCTTCCTTTCTAATCCTTATACCTTTGGTTTCTCCTGTGCCTTACTGAACTGGCTAACACTACCAGGATAATGGAAATAGTGAAAATGGCCAACCTTGTCTGACCTAACTGCAGAGGGAACGCTTTCATTATTAAGTGTGATCCCTGTAGATTTTGGGAGATAAGCTTTATTAACTCTTCTGTTCCTTCTATGTAGTTTGTAAGAATTTTTTTTCATGAACAGGTGTTATAGTTTATCAAATGATTTTTCATGCATCTTTTGAAATGAGCATATGCTTTTTCTTTTTTATCCTATAAGTGTCATAAATTATACTGATTTTTATAAATCTGCTTTACACATGTTAACTGATCTTTTGTTGGAATAAATACAACTTAGGCCATATTATTTTTGTGTATTGCTACAGAGAAGTCAGTTTTATTCTGACTGTTGCTTTTTTTGGGTATAATTTATATTTTTTCACTGGCTTCTCACATTTTGAGTTTTCTGCACATTTACTTTGATGTATTTAGTGTTGGGTTTCTTTTTATTTAGTTTGCTTGGAATTTACTGAACTTCTTAAAGATGTAGAATGATATTTCATCAGTTTGGGGGGAAATTCTTATTTATTATCTCTTCCAATATTGCCTCTGTCTGTCCTTTTCTTTCTCTAATTCGGGGATTCCAATTAAATGCACATAATACCTTCTTACTGTAAACTTTATGTCTTATTCTCTCTTTTGTATTTTATTTTGAATTTTTGAATTTTATTTTATTTATTTTCTTATACAGCAGGTTCTTATTATCTGTTTTATACATATTAGTGTATACATGTCAATCCCAATCTCCCAATTCATCCCACCACCACCCGCCCTCTGCCACTTTCCCCCTTGGTGTTCATACGTTCTTTGTCTACATCTGTGTCTCTATTTCTAGTTCATCCATACCATTTTTTCATCCAGTTCATCTGTACCATTTTTCTAGGTTCCACATATTATGCGTTATTATACTATATTTGTTTTTCTCTTTCTGACTTACTTCACCCTGTATGACTGTCTCTAGAGCCATCCACATCCCTACAAATAACCCAATTTCATTCCGTTTTATGGCTGAGAAATATTCCATTGTACATATGTACCACATTTTCTTTAATTCATCTGTCGATGGGCATTTAAGTTGCTTCCATGACCTGGCTATTGTAAATAGTGCTTCAGTGAACATTGGGGTGCATGTGTCTTTTTGAATTATGGTTTTCTCCGGGTATATGCCCAGTAGTGGGATTGCTGGGTCATATAGTAGTTCTATTTTTAGTCTTTTAAGGACCCTCCATACTGTTCTCCACAGTGGCTGTATCAATTTACATTCCCACCAACAGTGCAAGAGGGTTCCCTTTTCTCTACACCCTCTTAAGCATTTGGTGTTCGTAGATTTTCTGATGATGCCCATTCTAAATGGTGTGAGATGATAACCTCATTGTATTTTTGATTTGCATTTCTCTAATAATTAGTGATTCTTTTTGTTTTTTAATTGTAGTATAATTGCTTTACCATGTTCTGTTAGTTTCTGCTATACAGTGAAGTGAATCAGCTATATGTATACATATATCTCTTCCCTCTTGGACCTCCCTCCCCCACCATCCCATCCACCTAGGTCATCACAAAGCACCAAGCTGAGCTCCCTGTGCTATACAGCAGGTTTTCACTAGCTATCTGTTTAACACATGGTAATGTATTTATGTCAAACCTAATCTCCCAGTTCATCCAACCCTCCTGTTCCCCCTCTGTGTCCACATGTCTGTTCTCTATACCTATGTCTCTATTGCTGCCCTACAAATTGGTTCATCTGTACCATTTTTCTAGATTCCACATATATGAGTTAATATACGATATTTGTTTTTCTCTTTCTGGCTTACTTCACTCTGTATGACAGTCTCTAGATCCATCCACATCTCTACAAATGACCCAGTTTTGTTCGTTTTATGGCTGAATAATATTCCATTGTATACATGTACCACATCTTCTTTATCCATTCATCTGTCTTTGGACATTTAGGTTGTTTCTGTGTCCTGGCTGTTGGAAATAGTGCTGCAGTGAACATTGGGGTACATGTGTCCTTTTGAATTATGGTTTTCTCAGGGGATATGCCCAGTAGTGGGATTGCTGGGTCATATGGTAGTTCTATTTTTAGTTTTTTAAGGAACCTCCATACTGTTCTCCATAGTGGCTGTATCAATTTACATTCCCACCAACAGTGCAAGAGGGTTCCCTTTTCTCCACACCCTCTTTAGCATTTCTTGTTTGTAGACTTTTTGATGATGGCCATTCTGACCTGTGTAAGGTGATACCTCATTGCAGTTTTGATTTGCATTTCTCTAACAATTAGTGATGTTGAGCAGCTTTTCATGTGCTTCTTGCCCATCTGTATGTCTTCTTTGGAGAAATGTCTATTTAGGTCTTCTGCTCATTTTTGGATTGGGTTTTTTTTTTTAATATTGAGCTGCATGAGCTGTTAATATATTTTGGAGATTAATGCTTTGTCCATTGATTCATTTACAAATATTTTCTCCCATTTTGAGGGTTGTCTTTTCATCTCGTTTGTAGTTTCCTTTGCTTTGCAGAGGCTTTTAAGTTTCGTTAGGTCCCATTCGTTTATTTTTGTTTTTATTTTCATCACTCTAGGAGGTGGATCAAAAAAGATCTTGCTGTGATTTATGTCAAAGAGTGTTCTTCCTATGTTTTCCTCTAAGAGTTTTATAGTGTCCGGTCTTACATTTAGGTCTTTAATCCATTTGGACTTTATTTTTATGTTTGGTGTTAGGGAGTGTTCTAATTTCATTCTTTTACATGTAGCTGTCCAGTTTTCCCAGCACCACTTGTTGAAGAGACTGTCTTTTCTCCATTATTTATCCTTGTCTCCTTTGTCATAGATTAGTTGACCATATGTGTGTGGGTTTATCTCTGGGCTTTCTATCCTGTTCCATTGATCTATCTTTCTGTTTTTGTGCCAGTACCATAGTCTTCATTACTGTAGCTTTGTAGTATAGTCTGAAGTCAGGGAGTCTGATTCCTCCAGCTCTGTTTTTTTTCCTCAAGACTGCTTTGGCTATTCAGGGTCTTTTGTGTCTCCATACAAATTTTAAGATTTTTTGTTCAACTTCCGTAAAAAAATGCCATTGGTAATTTGATATGGATTGCATTGCATCTGTAGATTGCTTTGCGTAGTGTAGTCATTTTCACAGTATTGGGTCTTCCAATCCAAGAACATGGTATATCTCTCCATCTGTTGGTAACACCTTTAATTTCTTTCATCGGTGGCTTACAGTTCTCTGCATACAGTTCTTTTGTCTCCCTTGGTCGGTTTATTCCTAGATATTTTATTCTTTTTGTTGCTATGGTAAATGGGAGTGTTTCCTTAATTTCTCTTTCAGATTTTTCATCATTAGTGTATAGGAATGCAAGAGATTTCTGTGCATTAATTTTGTATCCTGCTACTTTACCAGATTCATTGATTAGCTCTAGTAGTTTTCTGGTAGCATCTTTAGGATTCTCTATGTATAGTATCATGTCATCTGCAAAGAGTGACACTTTTACTTCTTCTTTTCCAGTTTGTATTCCTTTTATTTCTTTTTCTTCTCTGATAGCCCTGGCTAGGACTTCCAAAACTATGTTGAATAATAGTGGTGAGAGGGGACATCCTTGTCTTGTTCCTGATCTTAGAGGAAATGCTTTCAGTTTTTCACCATTGAGAATGATGTTTGCTGTGGGTTTGTCATATATGGCCTTTACTATATTGAGGTAACTTCCCTCTATGCCCACTTTCTGGCAAGTTTTTATCATAAATGGGTGTTGAATTCTGTCAGAAGCTCTTCCTGCATCTATGGAGATGATCATATGGTTTTTATTCTTCAGTTTGTTAGTATGGTGTATCACATTGATTGATTTGCTTATATTGAAGAATCCTTGCATTCCTGGGATAAACCCCACTTGATCATGGTGTATGATCCTTTTAATGTGCTGTTGGATTCTGTTTGCTAGT